TCCTGATCAAATTCCTGGTTTGATTTATTCTCCACGCAAAATATTCGACCATTAGTGGCACAGTTGCGCGATGAGCGAGAAATGTGGCATTGAATCTCGCCTAGAACCCTCTTCTCCACAACTCAGCATTCTTGTAAAAACACCTGTTTTTCTCAACATTATCCATTATTTCTTATGAAAATTGATATTTACAAACTCATTAAAGTGACCATCGAAACAAGTTCTACTCCTTTTTGAAAAAGTTTCTTTTCAGATCGAGACGACCATATTCATATCCGTTGGGATAACATACTGCCGGGAATGAAATCACAATTCGATAAGATTTCTGCCGCACTGCAGGTACGGTACTGAACTAATGTGACCATGCTCCACTTACAATATGTTCTTTTTCTCAAATATAGATCAGGTTTTTCTCGGACGTTACTCAAGGTTTTCAGCATTAGGAAGTTATAAAGTTCGCACTAATTCAAAGTGTTTGTGATAGTTGTCCGCGAACATGTTTCTTTTAGGACACCCAAGGCGAAAAATACGATTATCGATCGATTATGCATTACGATTCGACGGCATTCTCACGGAATGGGAAGAACACCATTGAAACTGTGGTGGACGGATTTACGGACGTCATAGGCAGTTCTGTAGATTTATCTGAGCTTGATATCATTAAGGTTTGTCACAAGCTGTATAGTAACGATGGCGTAGCGGGGGCAGTTAGCGAAGTTTGGACTTTTGGCTCGTGCGGTTAATGCCTCTGCTGCGATCGGTCATTATGGCCGTATCAGGACGGGAAGAGGAAAAATTGGCTTGTAAATGATGCCGGCCTCCGTAAGCCATTGTCTAAACCATTCAATCATGTCTGCGTATTTGATTGAACCCTGAGTGCACGGCGCATACTGAGGAGCCGATCAACGCCGATCAATTGGTTCTTCAGTCGATACATCCAAAGAACGTTGACTCCTTAGCGGCTCATTCCATAAATGTGTGAGGGGAACCGGTCCACTTGAACGCTCTGTTTTTGGATGCCTCTCTATCCGCTCACTTTCCATCGATGTGTGTGTGTGCTCGCGCCACTGAACCTTAGGTAAACATTTGGCGCGGGTTTTCAATGGAACGCCGGAGGAATTATGCTGTTCTGAAAGAGGGATTTCAATAGCTCGACTGACTGATCAGCGAGGAGTCATGCAGAACATTAAGTCTAAATCAAGGAGCTTTTTAAAGGAAATTTTTAAAGGGAGAGTTGAAAAAAAATCAGTTTTTCCTTTTCACGGATTCATCGTAAGGCTGTATCATAGTTCGCGACTCCGGAGATTAGGATTGTACGTTATACGTTTTCAGCGCACTATCCTACTCTACTATTATCCTGATATCCTGTCGCTCACTATCCTAATTGTTGGTCGCGAACTATGAACGCAGCCTAAGGTGGCAGCAGGTTTGCCGGGTCATTGCTACACGATATAGGTTTTAAAGCAGTGGGCGCTCTGTCACGGCACTTATTGATGCGACCGATGGCGTTCCAGTCTAAACCAAAAGAATCCGGGAAAACAGCCATGTGGTCTTATGGGCTGAGTTATTCATAAGGTCCTTACCTCACACCTGAGGTATCTGGCGATGTTCCAGTTTACGACCCTCACTTCGCTCCGGTTGGGTGGTGCCCCCCTCCCCACCCTTTCCCCAAGATCTTAAATTAGAGGTTTACCCCGAGGTACTGGCGAAGTGTTTCCCTTTATCAATGCCCCACTTCCGCTCTGGGCGTTGGGTGGTGCTGCCTATACGTACCTAGTACATTTTTCCATCCTCCTCCCCCTTTCCCCACAGATTCCTTATAAATTACGACGTTGGTCTCTGTGAGGATTTCATGCGTTAAATACCGGCAATATTAGCTGTGATGTTTGAACTATGCCATATTTTTCACTTCTAAATGTGCGCTCCTCGCATCCATTTGCAATACGTAGCTCATTTTTTCCCCTCGACATCCCAACACAGAACGCTTTCTTTCCTCATCACAAATATGACCATACGACTGACCATCGATGAATCTTGGTTCCCTGCTGTACGGATAAGTATCGCTAGCAGCTTCGAAAAAAGAAGACCTTCGAAGTTCTGGGAGGGCTATGTCCAGTATTAGCTCTCATCTCAACGGTCGAGTTTCTGCGTTCAGCAATTGCAGCTTGCTCTCTTCATTTGTACCGACATCGCAGCAGTGGTTTCGGTCGCGCGCCGTGAATGTGAAGTCATGGGCGGAATAGCACGAATTTCTTTGAAAGTAGTACCGCCATACTGCTTAAAGGAATCTTCCACGGAAAAAGCTCCGCCCTCATTACCACAGAAAACGATACCTTAAAGGAATCTTCCACGGAAAGAGTGATCATTTTGTCTTGTGTGTAGGATTAGTATTATCGAAACTAACGCTTATGTTCCGTTCTTTTTGCTATGCTCATGAGGCTAGGGGCCTAAGGGGTATCGTTTTTCTGTGGTAATGGAGGCGGAGCTTTTTCCGTGGAAGATTCCTTTAAGTCAACTTTACTGTTGTGGACCGAAGTCAAATTCGTGGCGCAATCCAAAGATTACGGTCATCGGAACTTCTTTTTTATTTTTCACTATACATTAATCAATAACTTCATTGCTTTTATATTCTTCAGATCAATAAACTTTACCAGTGCTCATCATCTCGAAATGAACAATCCAAAACAAGCACAACGACACAATCGTCTCATAAAGGGAGTGAGTTACTGTCAGCACCTTGGCCATATTTTCTAATCGATTATCGATTTTTTCTTTGACAATGTAGTCGTTTCGATTTCGATCTCGTCGATCTGCTGTCATTCGAATAAAGAACGCATCAAATAGCGGAGCTTCAGCTGACATTCAATTGTCTTTTTGAAGGGGGGATATTGCCGCCGGACCGCATTATGTAAATATTGATTTATCGAATCTCATCAACATCGAATTCGAGAAATCCTTGGAGCTTTTCTTCAATTAGGGAATGGAAAAGAATTCCTAGGATGTGTTTGACGCTTCAGCCATGTGTTGGCGTTTTTCATACTCGAAAATTTGCTATTATACTTTAAAAAGGACGGGTGAAGATGGTGCAGACGCTAGAAGCGCCGCTGTTCCGTTGCCTAGCTCGTGGGATCGAATTGTTCTCAAACCATCGAGAGTAATGTTTAGGCTCCAACTCGTACAAAAGGATACGCTTTCCTTCTTTACAAAAGGGTTTTTTTGTAAACTGAAGGGGTCGTGGTCGCAGGGGAGGGGTCTTGATATCTCACTGTCGTGTAACCGGTCCCTAATAGACCTTTGATTGAACTGGGAGAAACGGCCGAACGCCATAATTGCTCATGATCGAATAATTCCTAAAGGAATCAACCATTCCACTCATTTTTTATTACACTATATATTTTATTTTTATTTTTATTTTTCATCCACTAACCTCCATATTCAGAGTGCATCGATCACTTCACTGACTGCCCACACTTCAAGCAATACTGCCAGCGAGCTTCGTTCTTCTTCGCAGAAAGTACTGGGTCCCGCTACCTGCGCCATGGGGCGCAAGCCACATGATAATTATGGATTTATTGCTTCAAACTACAGTTCTTTTCTCAATGTATGAATACGTGAGATTATTAATTAATCTCAGTCGCCAAAAGATTCAACGGGCCCAATACTCTTTGCACATTTCCATCGAACTCCCCATAGCCATCACCGGGGGGTTTTCGTATATACGTCACTTTCCCTCCTTTGAATTCTCAGCAACATATTAATTATTGAGTGGCATCGAGAGCCAACAACAGAGCTGGTCAAAGGCAGCCCAAACCATTATATGCACTTTCCCATAAATGCAATTATGATTCGAAATGGCTGGCGAGGTGAAAGGAAGAGAGGGAAAGAATCAGTTGAAACACGCTCGATTGGGGCTCACTTCACCTTACACCTAAGCCTTCTTAGAATAGCATCAACGCGGAGAGCGAGAATAGCGAGAGAGCGCATGCGATAGAAGCCGCCATACAACACCTTGTATAAAAAAAAATTTTCAAGCAACTCATTGTCAAGGGATCAAAGTGCCTTGTCCGTGGTTTCCGACACGGAACGCCACTTATAATTGTCCATAGATCATAACTGACACGACCCAAAAAAGGCGTTCGCAACGACCTCTGCCTGGTTCGCTTTGAAGAACTATATATTGTACGAACCTTTCCTAGCAAAAGAAAATGAAGTTCTGTAAAGGTGAAAGAGATCTCCTGTCGCTTATTATGCTTATTTAGAGTGATATGTGGGGCGGATATTCACTTTACGCTTCAAAACAGTTCCTATGGATATACTTAAATTTATCATTCTCATAAATAAAATCATAGCTCCGTTCCCCCAATGTTAAAGCTAAGTGTTCTCTTGATCTTATAAGCAATAAAAATAACAAATTCTCATGGAACATGTACACCTTTGTCCAGCTGTACAAAGCCCAGTAAGAGCGGGCGCCTTACGCTTTGCTGGCCTGCGACAAACGAAAACAGATCAAAAACAGATGTGCGTAAAATCAGAACTCAAGTTTAAAAAAAACACTAAACTCCTGCTTCCAAACAGAAATATCACTATGGAAATCCGATGGAGTAAAATGCGTAAAGGGTCATCACGCAGGAATACATGTGTCATCATTCAATAGGTCAACTTCTATAAGAACAACATATACCGGACGCGAGGGGGGAGGCGAAGAGCGGTTGCAGGCTTCGCAAAACACAGACCAAAAAGCAGGGGCACTCCAAACTGCAATGAGTCCAAGATCATCTGTGAAAGTTCAACCCAAAGCCCTCAAAAGTGACTTACGATTAATAATAGAAATGCAATAAAAAAGCCAAAGTGAAATAGAGCTTGCGCGCGCGAGAGGTAGGCGCATCGGCATCTCAAGCCCGCCACTGCGCAAACCTAATCCTGCTAGTGGCACCGAATCAGCGCGAATGCCAACGAAAATTGCAACAATTGCATACATCTCGAAGCACCAATAGAACTCGTACTGGGTAAAATAACTAAGCAAATGCCATATACAAAATTACTGCAAAGAACACGATAGGCTTCGGGGTGACGCCCTCCATTCATGCCTGCACTGCCGAGGCTCACTCATGGGGGGCAGTCACTATTTTGCCATACCGTGGCAGCTTTAAAACGTAGTAGCAGCGGGGAGTATGCCTTGGAGAGGAAGGCGGACAAAGCACCGCAGCGCCGCGCGGTCCACCCCCACCAACCAACCCTACCAACAAAATCCCATAAAAGGACTCTAATATATATGATCAGGAGCACGATTAGGCGTATCGCGAATCCGCTCCATTCATCTGCAAGCTCTGAGGCTCACTCATGGGGGGCAGTCACTATTTTGCCATACCGTGGCAGCTTCAAAACGTAGTAGCAGCGGGGAGTATGCCTTGGAGAGGAAGGCGGACAAAGCGCCGCAGCGCCGCGCGGTCCACCCCCACCAACCAACCCTACCAACAAGTAAGTGCCCATGATAAGGCTCTTAATATATATGGAGCGCAAACACACAGTTAAACTAGGAAGGAAAAGAGTTCAAAAGGATCAGAAGTATGTCGCTTGTTGGCGAGTCGCCAGGCTAACAAGATGCCATTGACGCGGCACCCGAATCTCGACGAGGTTTTGCCCCAATTTGCCACGTGCAACCCCGGCCCATCCAAATGTCGGTCGCTCTACGGAAGGAAACAGAATATATCTTCCCATAAAATCGGTACCTAAAGTAATTTTCGATGTTCTTGATGCTATCTGGTGCTACGTCAGTCGCTAAGTATGCAATTTTCCATCCCCTGCTGCAGAAGTGTAAGTCCAAGCATACACAACACATGTAGCAAATATTGTCTACTATGGAAGTTCTGGGTGAAAATCTGCGTAACGACTTCATAGATTCATACCGATACCGGAAACAAATATACACAGAGCCCACATTACATAAAAAAACGACCAAAAAAACAGCCTTCTAAATTCTAATGCGTGTCGAATTGGAAGTGATTTCAACTTTAGATAAGGAAAAAACAGTAAGATCTATGGACCATAGCCACTAGGGACCGCTTTGAACCAACAAATTGTAGCAAAATACAAATACAGAAAAAAGCTAGAGAAGATCATACAGAGTTTAAAGGCACGGTCCAGGATCGATCTGATTTACTATTGCGCTTGCAAGAGTCGGTGGAGGTGTGATGTATACGACTGCAGTGGAAAAAGGCGAGGAAACCGTCGACTCTTTCTCGAAAAGCTCTTTCTCCTAAGGCTTGCTTGACGATCGCGAAAGGATTTGGTGAAGGTGAATTCAGAAAGGTAGCAGCCATTCTCGCTAGAGAATAATACAAGAGTAACGAGTGTGACGTAGGGTCGTCGGTCACCGTCCCAGAGAAAGATATTATTAGGTACCGGATATCTTAGTGTCGCTTTTCTGAGTTCAGGAAGTTTTGGGGCCGATTACTATGGAAAATCAATATCTCAGAAAGTCCTTTTTGCTCATTAATACTGCGAAATATGTTGCTTATTGTTTTCTATTGTTGGTTCACAATTTAACTTTCCCCCAATTTTTATACTTTTTTTGAAAATTCCTGGGTCCAGTGTGCAAATTCGCATGTGTGTACCAAATGCTTCAAAATTCTTGCTGAGAGCTACAACTTCCGCCCACCAAACCAACATTGCATTTGTTGGAGGGAATACTACCATTTAAAATGCTCATCGGTTTTTCACAGTTTTCTCAAAAGACAGTGAAGTCTTTGAAGTGATGCCCGCAATCGTCGTCAAAAAGGTGGCCCTAGTTAAGTCGAGACGGGGCTGCACCAGTCTTGTGCTGAAATGGTAGGACACCTTAGCAGTGACTGATCGATGATGCACAAACGCTTTAACGAAGTTGATTGCACAGGAAATTCTAATATATGTTCCATGTCCGGTCTTCTTGAAACCTGGGCATTCCGATTGTGTCTTGCTTCTGTTTTGCCTTCCAGGTTTGTTATGGTGGAATCTTTATTGGTCGACGTTTCGAACAAATCGTCGTTATCAAGACCTAAAATTAGTTCGGAGCTCTAGCTTGTAGTCTATCCACTTACACCATCTAGTATAATGTGCTCATCTGCTACTCACGTGTGCTCAAAAAGGGTGCGTTTTTGACCCCATGTGGCAAAAAAGACTCCGGGAAAAATTGTCCAGTTGAGCTGGTAAGTTTAACTTTTCCACCATACAGTGCAGACCCTACTCTAACTAACTGTATACTTCTTTTGTCCAGGCCTAACTTTTTAGCAAGTGAGAGGGATGATTTGTCAGATGATGTCAAAACCGACCTACCTCTCTTTTTCGACTCAAAAATTCCTAGCTTTAATCGTACGAGGTTTCCACTCATACTGGTAAATGGGAAAGTGCTAATGAGTCATTCGATGAATATGCTGTTTCACTCCCCGGATTCTGAATATATTAGGTCATCTCATTCAAACATGTCCAGACATCTAGAGAAATGGTGGGAAAAGTAAAAGAGCTAGAGCATTCTGCTTGCTTTTGTTTTTAAGCTAGCACACCTAGCTACGGTATACCCTAATTAAGTTTGTAGTGCCGCAGAAGGAAACACTTAAAAACATAAAAGAACTCATAGTGACCCAAATCGAGGCGGAATTTTCCAAATGATTGGTGACACACGTAAAATTCGCAACTCGAATTCTCTGTGTGCTGGCTCAACTTACGCGTGATACAGTGTTCTCGAAGTGCTACGTTGAAGATATGGTGTGAGAGCTCAAAGAAGGAAGAACGGATGCGAGTTGTGGTTGAGGACGCGCTTCATATTGCCCACCTTGCCCAAGAAGAGCGGGTGGATGAAATGAGGTTTCAAATGGCGCATCACAGATGTTGAACCTTTGCGATGTTTGCCCACGAGACTTGCAGTCTAGCTGCACCTGTTACGCAAATTGTGCCCAAAAATTGGGGATGGTCCACAGAACATGTTTTTGGATATCTCCATTTACTCCCAGATGCAGAGTCCAGAATCGAATTGGTGTCTGTAGCAATGATTTCTCTGCCAATAACGTCATTTAAGACTATCAAACTGGACCCTGCTCATAAACGAAATTTGTGTGGAATTGTACGCTGAGGCCCAAGTCAGAAGTGTCAACTTTGGATTAACGCGAATGAGGAACTACCCGAATTGGATCACGAGAAGTCACGTGGGTTCACGTGGATGATTATTATGGCGATGGATTTCTGAGATGTGCCTCTTAAATGGCTCTGTCGGGAAAAAACCTCCGGCGGTTTCTCAAGTTATGGCTTGTTTCTTAGCGATCAAATTGACAAAGGAATAGCAGTACAAAACTACAATAACGATATCATCACCTATGTCGATGCCAGACCCCACATAGCTCATATTGCTCACGGGTATTTCGACCAAACGGATATTGTGACCTCTTCTTATCAGCCGTATTTTCCCAACTGCAGCCGTGCGACCTCAGCTGTTTTAGCGAACTGAACGCCCTACTCGTTGGAAGCGCTACGACAATTCGTTGATCATCTATACTGACATCAAAAGCATCTTGTCTATACTTGTTGAAATGAAGAAGCTGCGCGGTGTCCAGTGTTTTCTAGACGCTGGGATCGGGTCGTTAACAACGACAAGATCTGCTTGACTTAACACCAAAGTATTAGCTTTTTATCTTTCCTGCTGTTCATTTTATTCGGAATAAAACCGTGGACATGTTTGAATGAGATGACCTAATATAAAACTCGTCGATGAAAAAAAACGATACCGAGAAAATCGTATAAATATCGATAGTCGCATTATCCGTTACCTAATAGCACTGATTTGTGGGCGGGCTCAATGGTGTTGGGCGGGGCCAATGCTGCATCCTAGGCCCTTAGCGCCTCGGCCTTGTCAAATCATCCCGAAAGATTGTGTTCGTACTTTACGCTTGCGTACCGCTGCACATTCCCCTCGACAAAGCTTGATTTCGTCCAGAAATCCCGAACATCTCCTTCAACAATGAGGCACACAGCATAATTTCTAGACTCATTTGGCGAAAGGAACCTACGCAGTAAAAGGTCCCACAGCAGGATGAAGAAGCTTAATGTATTCTCCACAACATGCAGTCTCTACGATGTGCAGCTGGCCATCTGCACAACACAATCTCCGCCCATGGTACAATGCGCTGATTATGGTGCAGCGCGCTTTCGTAGTGGTCTTAGCACTTGCTGTCCTCATAAAATAGGTCAATATACTTTTATTCGATAGCCTATATCTAAGCAATCGTGGACTGTACATAAGTACTGTTGAAGATCCCCATCACAGAACAGTACTAACAGCAATACAATAGATAGTAAGGAATAATGAGCATAGAAGAATGTTACAAATACGACTCGTTTATCACTCCGAATAACTTACTCGGAGCATAACCCACAAGAAGTTAGAATAAGGAAAGGTAAGAGAAATTCACAAAAAACTGAAAACAGTAGTCCCACTCGAAACCCTCTTTAACCGTTTAACATTAACTAATGTACACCTATATATACCTGATAACCAATTGAAACTATGATTACAGCCAATAACACGGTAACTAGACAACACAGGGTGGGCGAAAATCGCAGTTAGGATTCTACCTTGAGAATTCGAGGAAGCGAAGTTCTTACTGGGTTATTACAGTTTCCATGCATGTTGTATACAACGACAGAAATCAATAATTGTGAAATATCGCGAAAGAAAAATGCACCTTCAATCGGCACTAACATCGTGTAGAAACCATTTACACAAATATTTAAAACATGAATAAGACCGGTCTTGGTTTTCTAGGATTGATACCTTTCGAGTAAAAAAGCAACTGCCATTCTTACGTACCGGTTTCTGTTACATACTCGGCTGAAAATGAATGTACCATCCGCCCAAAACCTGTCCATATCTCCAAAACCGCCTGATTGCTATCGTCATCTACAGTTCAGAGAGGATACACAGCAAGCAGATCGTGAGAGATCTTTGTTTGACGCGTCTCTGCAAAGTTCTGAAAATTACATATATCTATATGTACTAAGCATGCATACGGCCCGTAGGGTAGAGTCGCTGCTCGGGCGAGACAGCATGATTGTTCACAACAGCACAACAGTGAAATGTCTGGTAAAAATGGCGGCGCTATCGCAAAATATGGGGCTTTGTAGTGGCTATGCATTTAAAGCCGCTACATTTCCTTTCTTCAAAACGGATCTAAGTCCTTGGACAGGGAGGAGAGATTCACGGTGAGCAGCAATTATCATTTTTCCCCGAAGTCACTGCCCTCTCCTACATAGGCTCAGTTCTAGGAGGGGGTATTGCGATAGCACCCAAATTTGAACTAATATCCGGACAGACGTGCTCTACGCGGATTGATTTGACCTCGCTTATCTAACGCTCTTCCTTTAGGCCGCTCTTAAATTGCAATGGCAAATTTGTACGGAGTACGGTACTGCTGTTGTAATCGGGAGCTGTTCTTTCAAATTTCCTTGAGCATTTGTGTATCTTCAACCTTCTCCACCTGAAGATTTATCAGTCGAAGAATGAGAGGGAATGTGAATGCTGGATGCTATTAGCATAATGCTGCAACTGGGACAGTTCGTCCAAATCGACTCTGTAACGGCCGCAACCTTTTCCCACATTTTCACACCACTGCCAGAACGATGACGTACTTCATTCTTCCATAGGCTCTCTCTTCTTCACCTCTTCCCCAACCCTGCCGGCTTTATCTTCATTTATTCTGATGATGGCCGATACAATGAGAAAGATTTTGATGATCCTCACCCAACTCAGAGCAATCTTGGGAATTTCGCCTGAAGATCACTCGTGGAGCATGAGCATAGGCGTTTTGTAACTCCACGACAAATGATAGGACGAATATCTGCATGGCAAGAGCCGTTGTCCACTCGGAAATGGTGGCTACCATATAGTTCAAATAGAACTAAAATATTCGCATTTAATCATTCAACAAATTTTTCATGGAATGTCATTTCTTAATACGCTCATATCTCTGCGGAATTAGCAGAAAAACTTTATTTTCAGCGTTTTCCTCACTAAAAAATACAGCGAAAGTGTAAGCAAAAATAATGAAACATTATGGTATGGTAAATCCTCGGAAGAAATATAACGGCTTGAAGATTCAAATCGCCCTTTAAGTTACGCCACGTGCTTAACCTGTGAATACAATCGCAAAGGCAAACTCTTTAGACACGTTCTTGTTCTTTCGACACGAAGGATCTACCTGAAGTGGAAATCAACATTCTTATCTTTCCAGGTGAGTTTGATACCATTTGGCAGATTCGGTGGGATATGACATAAATGCCGGCTCGCTTAGGCGAGAGTAGACCCTGAATGCGATACGGGAACCATTTCGAGTGGTATCGGTCCCACCCGCTGAACCACCTTCACACAGCTTCGCTAAGAATTGGAGAGAAATGAAAAAAAGATGATAAAGGAAGGTGGTAAGAAGTTTAGCGCTCGATGGCCGAAATGCGGCGGCGCAACCATTGAGGGAAAATTCGGAGTGAAACTGATGTGGTCCTTGCACATAAACATGGAAGTATTGGTGCAAAATGGCCCGCAGTAATAAAAAAGGAGAGGAATTCGCCGAAAAGGAGCGTGCTAATCTTCATAATTCCGTTGCCAGACTTGGCGAATCCATGGATTCGCTAACGAATCGCTGGGTATGAACGATGCGCGAGCGGTTTAAACGAGTGCCAGCGGATAGAACGATGTATCAGTGTTCAAACGATGCATCAGCATCAGACAGTGTTTGAAGGTGGCGGGTGTTCCTCTCCTTCGCACGTTGACTTTCCTGGGTTCACATGGGCATGAGCGAGCGAGAGGGCATGAGCCCAAGAAAGTGTCGAGAGTCAATGTGCAATCGAGAGACTCCCATGAATCCAACACTGTTGGGTGAGGGCGCAATACAACAGTTTCGGCCGCTGCAGCTCACTTTGCAGTGAATTATCGCCCTTGGCGGGCTATGCCCATGCACTAGTATGCAACACCTGTGATTGTTTTTGAGGGTCTATTCTGCAAACCAAAACGAATCGCTCAACTTCCGCTTGGATTGCGCCCTTATGGGTTTATGGCGATTTCTGCGATGAAACAGAACCACCTGAGATCAAGGTAGAGGTGGTCGGTGATGCTTTTGTGAAGGAAAAGGACCAAGACAACAACCTGAAACCCAAAAATTGAGACCTCTTTTGCTCAGTGATTCGTGCCGTGGACGTGTCTCATTGGTGCTGACCTCATCAACGCTGACCCTCTCTCTGCTGGCGGCTTAAGCCTACCTAGAAGTGGACGGGCAGTGGCTATAGCGGCGCGGGGACTTCCTTCGCTGCTAATTGCGTATCGGTCCGCACCTAGAGTTCCAGCCGTCTTTTCACTAATCATATCAGAATTCCTTCAAGTAAATATTTAAAGGCCAATGTTGTTTTATAAAGTCGTTCAAAAACCGATATCGATAATGGGAAAATCACTGGCGAGTCCTTGTCGAATCCGTCCACTGGATGCCATCCCTCTGGCGGTTCACCAGCTCCTTCAGGCACGAAAACTTTAGAACAAATGGACTGCTGATCTAGAAGTTTCGTATCATTTACAGATTCACATCGATTTTTTGAAGTGTGACCTGTATTCAGTTACAGTTATAACTCACGGAGTATACAAGAAGGGGTAGCGATCAACATAATGACAAGTCGCAAATGAGTTATCAGTATCGAAGCCATCCGTGGTAGCATTAAATAGCTGAACAGTGAAAATTAGATGGTTCAGAAAAGCCCGTAAACATTGTGATCAAATATCACTCAATACGTTGTATTAGGTCGGTCCATAATTTTTGAGAACCTTTGGTGTTTTTCGATTAATTACTTATCTTATTTCTCTGATGTATTTATTCAGCATAGTATACATCACCATTATTACCAACATATCACCAATGCGAGGGTGGGTATTCAGTGTCTCTCTTGTAGAATTTCATAGAGTTCTGATCGAAGAAAAATTGGATGTCGATTTTGACTTTATGGTGATTCAAGTGAGATTTCTTCTCCAGAAGGTGATTGAGAGAGGAGAGCGGATAGTCGTTCGTTGGCTTAGTGCTACAAGGCGGAGCTAAAAGAACTGACCGCCCGAGAGTCTCCAATTTTTTATGAATTTTCTTAGCAAGGTGGGCTCGAACGACCTCAGAAAAAAATAGATTTTGTCTTACTTTGCTTTCACGTTGAAGATCTTCATCACTGACAGTGGTATTAGTTGGTGCCGGTTCCCAGCGCAAAGCCCCTCTCGTATTCGCCAACGACTCAGGAAGTTAGAATTCAGAGGGAGTTGGGTTTTTGCTGTCAGAACTCCCGAATCGTTTAAGCTAAGCTACTGCGGCTTGTGGATTTGTTAGCACACTGCACCCAGTCCACATCACCGATGAGTATGTAATGGTCATTCGAAGGAACTATGGGAAACCAAGAGGAACATGATGATGTCAGATCGGGTTAGAGCTGATTCGGGCTCAGAGCATGGGAGAGACAAACTCCCAC